TGCTTCTTTAAATTAGTAAAGATTACAAGTGATTTTCATTTTCGTATTTATACTACCAAAAGAATTTTGACTCAAGTCAATAATTGGATGATATGATGACCAAGTTAATAACATGGCGGTCAACGAAGTTTGACCCTTTAAATTATTACCTAACTTAAACTATGACCAAATTGTGAGAAGTATAGAATTAAATCAGTACATTCTCATAACTAGTGAAGAAATATCCCAAAACTTGTCTGTAATACAAATTAACCCCAATACCTCCCCTATAAATTACTCGACATCACATTTGAGCAGCCACATATCAAACACTTGATAAACTCTTTTATGACCATAAATCAGACAATGGCATCAAACGCTTGCAAACTCCTTTGCCTCGTTCTCTCACTCGCCTTCGTCACCCAACTCGAAGGTATGTTTTATATAGGAACAATCACATTATGGTTCAATCTTCACATGTTCTTGTTTCTTCAATGTTTTTTGCTAAAGTCTTCATTAGCAAAACAAAAAGAATTACGTAATCCTAATTGCTGCATATCCAATATAGTAGATCTGATTTTTAAAGCTTAATGTTCTTCTTTATAAGAAGATATGAAACGTAGCATGTAATTAATTATAAGTTTATAACCAATATCTTCCAATCTATTGCTATTTTATTTTATATATATACGTACAGCAAGGAAAATAATTATTTATCTTTTATTTTGTGGAAATTTGGAAGGATATGGGGACTGTCAGCTAAGTGATATAATTGTGAAACAATCGAGGACCGGAAAATTGGTTCAGAACAAACCGGAGTGGGAAATGAAAGTGACGAACCTTTGTAGCTGCAAAGTAAAAAACGTAAAGTTGTCATGTGCCGGTTTCAGTTCGGTCACAAGGGTCGATCTGTATTTGCTTAAAGTCCGTGACGTGTGTCTCCTCAGAAGCGGTACATATGCCTATCCTCACTCAGACATCGTATTCACATACGTAAGGGACACGATATACGACTTCAAGGTCCTCAGTGCCGATCTCTGTGTTGCCACTTAAATTCTCGACCCGATAGTTGTTCCTTTTTGGCAAAAACACAGTGATGGTTCATGCTAGTTTAGTTACTGGCTTGAGCACATGAAAGTGATGATATATTTACTTGAATATTGTCCCAATCGTTAGCTGGATGAATAATAAATATATTTGTTTCCCATATTTTTTTCTGTTATTTTATTATTATTACAGTTCACATTCTGTTGATGAAATATAGACAGGACATAGTTGTAATTGACATTCTCCTAAGCCACACTTTTGTTCCCATAAGAATAAACATATTGGAAATGAAAAAAAAAACGAAAACCCTAAATGAAACTGGTTAGCAGCTGAGTGAGATAATAAAGGGCATTAATATTTCTCTTAAATCAGCTGAGTGAGAGAGTTGAAATAAACCCAAAAGGGGGTAGTCATAGTCTCATAGAGAAGAACTGGAACGATGAAAGTGAGTATTTTCCAACTCCAATTATCTTATCTGTAAGTGTCAAATATGTCATGATTTCTTGGTTTTCATTTATTTTACATGTTATTAAAATCTTACCCAAATAATATGGTCAACTGCTTCCGAAAAAGAATTTTGAGATATTTTACAAGTTATTAACGTACATATTATCTGATTTATTTTGTTTTCAATTTCGGATTTACCCTACCAAAATAATTTTGACTTGAGTCAATAACTCGATGGTCAAGAAAATAATGACCAGAGGCATGAACTTTAAGTTAATAACATTCCATGTCAAAAGAATAATTACCTAAGGAATAAACTTTACTTTTTCACTTGCATCAGTAACTCGATGGTCAAGAATAATTACCAAAGGAGTCAAGAAATTCATAACATTCCCGGTCAATGAATTAGCTACCTTCGACCTTTAATTTAGTACTATACATAATTTCTTATATTGATAGTATACTTTTAGAATTACAAAATTTCTTAATTTTAAATGCTGGTGTGGACCAATAAATTTTGTTTTGAAAAAAATCTTATACATAATTTCCCATTTTGGTAGTACATTTTTAAAATTTAAAAGTTTTCTTAGTTTTAAAAATTGATGTGGACCAATAAAATTGGTTATGAAAGCTCATCCTTATCTCATGGCATTTTTTAACAAAAAAAAAAAATCTCATGGCATTAACTTTTATGATTCCCTATAAATACTCGACATAACATTTGAGCAGCCACATACTCATCGTTAACTACTACTTTCCCCTAAATTCTTTGATAAACCTCCAAAAATCAACAATGGCATCAAACGCTTGCAAACTTCTTTGCCTCGTTCTCTTTCTCTCCTTCGTTGCCCGAGGTATACCTTTTTTCTTTTTTTTTGCCCACAGCACGAAGCTTCTTATCAAATCTCTATATATGATCACTATAACTCTACATATATCCAATATACCAGATTTAATTCGATTAAACCGTAACGTTGTTTTTAGAACATATAATTACGTAATCTGTTATAAACATATTGTCAGTATTTAATAATCATTTATGATCTAACGGAAATTAATAATTTGTTGTTTGCTTGAAACTTTTGAAGGATATGGGCTCTGTGCTCTTAGTTATCTGAATGTGAAACAAACGAAGACCGGAAGATTGGTTCAGAACAAACCGGAGTGGGAAGTGAGAGTGAGGAACCCTTGCAAATGCAGATTCCAGTACGCAAAGGTGTCGTGTGCCGGTTTCCAATCAGTCACACCCGTCCCCACCTCGTCGTTGTCAAAATCCGGTGACATATGTCTGCTCAACGCCGGCAATTTCATCTTCCCTCAAGTAGACTTCGTTTTCAAATACGTGTGGGACACGATGTTCGACTTCAAGGTCATCGACGGCGTAATCGTTTGCTACCGAGATGTCCCGGTTTAATTCGGTTTTGGTTCATGTTAATTTATAGTTAGCATATGAAATTTATGAACTTAAGATTTTGTCCTAATTATTATTAGCTTGAGATTAATAAAGAAACTCGTTTTATATTGTTTTTTTTCTGTTATTTATTAGTAGTTCACATCTGTTGGCCAAAAACCAAGACAGAACAGAGTAGTGAACTTGTGATTGACATTCTCTCTAACGACAACACTTTTATCACATTTTTTCTCCATAAGAAGAAACATTCTGGTAAGAAAAAACAATAAAAGCCTATCTGAGTTTATCGGAGAAAAACAAAAACAAATCACCATAATTACGAAAAGTTGGGTTAACAGAGATTAATATCTGTTTGGTAAGTCATTGATACGCTTAATAAAAAGAGTTCCCAGTCAAGAGATTAACTAATTTATGCCATGTTTCCAGGACTTTTACTATACTACCATTTGGGTATGACTTATGATATACAATAACCAAAAGTTGGCAACGAGTTAAAATCACCTTCCAATACTGTAAATCTCATTTAAAAGGAAATCGAATTCTTATATTCATTGACCAGCCAAATATCTGGTTTGGCTAAAACAGCTTTGGTCTCTATTCAGATTCTGGTTTAGCAAAATTTATCTTTGTTCACAAGAGATTATAGGGAATCGTTGTTCACTTAAAACTTTATCAAAAAAAAAAAATTATCTTAATTCACAAGAGATTATTAAATATATTCAGACCCGCCAGTTCCTGGGTGGACCCAAGTTGTAAGAGCTTGTTTTGGAGAATACAATTTGTCCCTAGAGAAGAATATTATTAGATTTCTTGCGCCTCAAGCCAACATCTGGATGACCAAATAGTTCAATACGCACATTCTAATTGAAATCACTACAAAGATTCTATAGAATTTGATGCCAACTATAAGCTCGTAGACTTTGTGGTTCATAAACATATTTTAACCCATGAAAACGCCATTTCTCAACATCGTCATTACTAGTATATCACTTCCTTTTAGTAAAAAATATAAAAAATTGAGCCCAAGCTGGAAAAAACTTTACTAAACCAAAAGGTATTTTTTTTTATAATATATAACAAGATTAGCTAATATTCCCTGCATTAAGTGTTGTCAAATCTAGAAAACAAGCACATAGCACAATAGAATTGTAACATTCATCTTCACCGCAACGCAGGAAATTTATCGGACATACCATCATTGGCACCTTTCTAATGATAGTCATAAATTTACCATTCAACGCCATAGCCTACACAAAAACGACTTAAACTTGTAATTAAATTTGTAAACAAAATAAAACAGTTAAAAATAATTAATCAAAACAGATTATTACCTTTCTGAGTTTACCATGTTCTCAGAAGACATTTTTTTCACACCCTCCTCTGCACACGCCTTGCACACGGCTTGAACTGGACATTTGAAACTTTGATTACTCTTGTTTACATTATGGTGATTTGTTTTTGTTTTTCTCCAGTAAACTCAAATAGGCTTTTTGATTGTTTTTTCTTTTTTTTTCTCCAAAATGTTTCTTCTTATAGACATAAATGTCAGAAAAATGTAATGTTTTTTGGCCAACAAATGTGAACTACTAATAATTCAATATATCTGCTAATTCTTTGACACACATACACAATAGCTAAACTAGATACGCAATAGAAATTAGAATGTAAACAAATTCTATAGAAACTTTGATTACTCTTTGACACACATACACACGGCTACAAAGATTTCTTGCGTCTCAAGCAACAATGTCTTTTCTTAACCATTTTAGTGAAACTTGAGTTACAGACAGATATGTTAGAAGATTAAGCATACACGGAGGAACAGAGGTTGATATCATTTCCTTTTCTTCCTCGGTGGCTGAGGAATTTCTTCCTCCTCCTCATCTTCATCTTCATCTTCATCTTCATCCTCATCTTCTTCCTCTATGCCTTCTTCACCATCATCATCATCATCTTCGCTTGCACCCTGTCCATTGGCTTCAACTTCATCTTCTGGATCCTCTTGTTCTTTCTCATTTCCTTGATTTTCTTCCTTGTCTGCGCCTTCCTCTACTTCATTGTCATCATCACCATCATCATCATTATCATTTTCTTTTCCTTCACTTGCGTCTTCATTTTCATCTTTAGCTTTCTTCAAAGTATGGAGTGGAATCATCGTCAACCTACAAAGGAAAGAACGAAGTTTATTTATTTATTTATCATTAAAATCATCAACCAAAATTGGGATTTACCAGTTGATACAGAAGCCAAGGCACTAACTAACCTTCCGTTTGTGTAAAGTTCTCTAGGGAACCCGTCACGCAAAGTTCCCTTCTGCTGCAAACAATCCAAAAATCATGTTGAGATGAAAACATAGCAACTTTCATTGAACAGAGCAACATCTGGATGATCAAATAGGTATACGCACATTCTAATTGAAACCACTACAAAGATTCCATAGAATTTGATGCCAACTAAAAAATTTTAAGCTCGTAGACTTTGTGGTTCCTAAACATGAATTATCCCATGAAAACACCAATTCTTAACTTCGTCGTTACTATATCACTTCCTTTTAGCTTAAAGTCAGAATTCGAATAGCTGTCATAAACACTGACATAAAAAAATAGAAAAATTGAGCCCAAGCTCTCTCTCTCTCTTTCTTGCTTAACAATACTAAATGGTCTACTAAAAATTACAACAGTGAGAGAGAGTTGGTACCATTACCAGAGACAATTCGATAGACTTGGCCAGAACAGTGACAGTTTCAGCAGCAACCGCTTGGATCAGAGAGCCGAAGAAGCTCTCCAAAACGCCGCGTTTCAAGCTCGGATTCTCCATTCTTCTGATCTGCAAAGCTGGTCTTCCAAAATGGGAGAAAAAAACAGCAGGGAATCACAACGGAGACTAGAAAAAGACAATCTAGATTCGGAAATTAAGGTTTACGGAAATGGAATTGGGGGTTTTAGACCAAAGCGTAGTGTATTCTGCATCCGACAACGAGACCAAGCTGATTATAGCTTCGGTTGAAGTTAAACGCTAACTCGACGTGCGGTCTCTGTGTTCTCGGTGACAGGCAACACGTGGCCTTTTTTGTCTTTGATCTTGAAGTGACAGACGTCACCAGAACCGTTGGATAAGAAACCGAAAAGACAGAAAAGTTAGTTGGGCCTGAAACTATTTAGGCCTTATAAGCCCATATTATTATAATTACCAGATTGGTTTGTGAAATGCCGGTAATCTTTTCTAACGTTGAACAGAATGTATGCAAATTTACCACATTATTAATGTAACCGATAGGACAACAGTTGACACAATCAATGTCTTCGCAGTTACATTGAATGACTAAATCTTAGGATGTTTTTTTGTTGGGACAACACCAATCTTAGGAAGTTATCTGCAAGACAATTACGGAAATTATCCTAGATCCAATTGACAAATTAACCTAGATGAAGTCCTTGACATCTTCTTTATCATCGTGTTGTAAGTATGCTTAATCTAATTTCTACAGAAATAGCGTATGGTGTTGTTCAATAAGAAATTTGGTTTTTAGATTTCTCAATTTTTTAAAAAGCTCAAATAATTTATGTAGCAAGCTAAGCCACGTTAGCCAAATTAATCTCTTTTTATTGATTAAAAAGTTGAAAGTTTTCCCACCTTTCCAGCAAAACAAAATGGAAGACGACTTTCCAATCTGTCTCCAATACAATATCGTTGCTAATTTGAACAAACAATGTCATTTTTTATATATATTAATATTCTCAACACTATTTTATTGGTGGATTAGGGTTCACTCAACCTACAGAGAGAGAAAGAGTTTCTCTGACATTTCAGCATTCACATTTGGTACATAAAATAAAATGTTTACAATCGGTCAATAGCTTTGCTTCCAATCGTCGAATCCTCATTTTCATCATCCAACTTCGATTTCAATTTTTTGCTTATTGATTAATTTGGGAAAATAGTCTGACCTTAAATGGGAAAGCCGACGGCGAAGAAGAAAAATCCGGAGACGCCTTCCGCCGGCGGCGGCGGCGGCGGAAGTAAGTCTGGGAAAACAAACCACCGCTCTGCTTCGAGAGCATTCGACGAGGATATGGAGATTTTCATCAGCAGAGCGATTGAGCTCAAAGAAGAAGGAAACAAGCTTCTCCAGAAACGCGACAACGAAGGAGCGATGCTGAGGTACGATAAAGCCGTGAAGCTCTTGCCTAAGGATCACATCGATGTAGCTTACCTGAGAACGAGCATGGCTTCCTGCTATATGCAAATGGGATTAGGCGAGTACCCGAACGCGATTAGCGAATGTAATCTAGCTCTCGAGGCTTCTCCTAGGTACAGTAAGGCTCTGCTGAGACGTTCTCGGTGCTACGAGGCTCTGAACAAGCTTGATTACGCGTTTAGGGATGCTCGTATTGTGTTGAACATGGAGCCCGAGAATGTTTCTGCGAACGAGATCTTTGAGAGGGTGAAGAAGACGCTGGTGGAGAAAGGTGTCGATGTGGATGAAATGGAGAAGAATTTTGTTGATGTGATGCCTGTTGGCTCAGCTCGTTTGAAGAAGATTGTTAAGGAGAGGTTGAAGAAGAAGAAGAAGAGTAAGAGTGGTGGAAAGGATGAGGAAGTGAAGAGTCCAAAGGTTGAAGCAGAGAGCAGAGATAAGCCAAAGGAGGAAAAGAGCGATAAGTCTGAGATTGAAAAGAAAACGAGTTTCAAGAATGATAAAGGACAGAAAAAGAAAAGTGGTAACAAGGGAAGAAAAGAGATGAAGGTAGAGGAGAAAGTTGTTGTGATGGACAAAGAGGTGATTGCCTCTGAGGCTGTTGAAGGAGGAGGAAGCACAACAGTTGCTAAGACGGTTAAACTGGTACATGGAGATGATATAAGGTGGGCACAATTGCCGGTTGATTCTAGTGTTAGACTGTTAAGAGACGTGATCAGGGATCGGTTTCCGGCTCTAAGGGGTTTCCTCATTAAGTATAAGGATCCAGAGGGTGATTTGGTCACCATTACCACGACGGATGAGCTGAGGCTGGCTGCTTCTAATCATGATAAACTTGGCTCCCTGAGATTGTATATAGCAGAAGTTAATCCAGACCAAGAACCCACGTATGATGGCGTGAACAATGGTGAAGCAATTGTCAAGATAGTGAGCAGTGTTGCGGATAATGGAAGTGTTGGAGAGTATGTGGAATCTGAGAAAGCATCTACTTGCTATGAGAGCTGGATTTTCCAGTTTGCGCAGCTGTTCAAGAACCATGTAGGGTTTGACTCTGATTCGTACTTGGACCTTCATGACCTTGGGATGAAGCTGTATTCAGAAGCGATGGAGGATGCTGTGACTGGTGAAGATGCGCAAGAACTCTTTGAGATCGCAGCTGATAAGTTCCAAGAAATGGCTGCACTGGCTATGTTTAACTGGGGTAACGTTCACATGTCCAAGGCAAGGAAGCAAGTCTTTTTCCCTGAAGATGCTTCGAGAGAAACTATAATAGAAGCTGTGGAGGCTGCGTTCGTGTGGACACAGAATGAGTACAACAAAGCTGCAGAGAAGTATGAAGAAGCGATCAAGGTGAAACCTGATTTCTACGAAGCTCTTCTTGCACTTGGGCAAGAGCAGTTTGAACAGGCAAAGCTTTGCTGGTATCATGCACTGAAAAGCAAGGTGGACGTGGAAAGCGAGGTTTCCCAGAAGGTTCTTAAGCTGTATAACAAAGCCGAGGAGAGCATGGAGAGGGGTATGCAGATTTGGGAAGAGATGGAAGAGCGTCGTCTAAACGGGATCTCCAAGTTCGATAAACAGAAAACAGTGCTGCGGAAGATGGAGATGGATGGATTGTTGAGCGAAGCTTCAGATGAAGAAACTGTGGAGCAGGCAGCTAATATGAGTTCCCAGATTAATCTCTTGTGGGGTTCCTTGCTATATGAACGGTCTATTGTGGAGTATAAGCTCGGGCTACCAACTTGGGATGAATGTTTGGAGGTTGCAGTTGAGAAATTTGAACTAGCTGGAGCTTCTGCAACTGATGTAGCTGTCATGGTAAAGAATCATTGTTCAAGCCAGAGTGCACTTGAAGGTAGAATACCAAACGATTGTTTTTTTTGTTATCTTTCTATATGGAGTGTGTGAGATATCAATCTTCTTATAACCGCAGGTATGGGGTTCAAGATTGATGAGATAGTAAGGGCATGGAATGAGATGTACGATGCCAAGAGATGGCAGATCGGTGTCCCATCCTTCAGGCTAGAACCAATGTTCCGGAGACGAGCCCCAAAACTGCATGATATCTTAGAGAATGTATTTTCAGGGCCTGCATGACGAAACATTCTTCTTATAATTATCTAGGTAAGTAGTAAAAATCATATCTGCTTCACATAATCCTGAAATATGGCAGTCTCTACTCTCTGTATTAATCTTAGATCTGTTCAACAACGTATTACTATTGCAGGCACTTTGTTTGTTTGGGAGTGGAGTTCATTATTCTCTCTATCCCTTTTGGTTTGGTTTTTAGCAATACTTTTTTGGTGGATATGGACATCCACGGGATATACTCTTGGCCTCTGCGGTATCATGTGGTGGCTGAGACTGATTGGGATTGGGATTCAGTCCAGAGAAGAAGGTTAGATGGTGCTAATTCTCTTCTCATAAAGATTGGTACAAAATATTGGTTGTTTGTTTGGTTTATTCCATAGCTCTGTAATCTTGTTTTATTTATTGTTCATTTGGATTAGTCTGTCTGAATGTCTACGTCGCTTGTACCCTGAATGTTCATCATCAAATTGTTTTTTTATCCTCAGAAAAATAATAAAATATTTCTCAGATTTCACAACAATTTGCAAATATTCGGTCTTCTGAATCTAAGTCAGTCAGAGAGGTAACAGCTGTTTGTTATGCAAATTAACATTTACCATTAAATAAGAAGAAAAAGGTTCACAAGCCCATCTCAACTATACACAGAGTTATTCAGATTTCTTTCTTACAATGTAACCGTGGAGTAATCAATCTCTGGGCTCACTCGTATGAACCCAAGAGCCCAAAAAACAGTCTTGTAGTTTCATCGGTAAGCTCCAAAGCTTCACGGTGCGAAACACTTCTTAGAACCTTTCCAACCATCCGAGAACCGTTCCCTTCTTAATTGTCTGTGACATGTCCTTCTCTCTTCTATGCAGAACCCTCAAAAACTCTTCCACACTCAAATTCCCATCTCGATTCGAATCAAACACATGAAACGCAACCCCTATCACATTGTCTGACAGTGTTACTCCACATACCTGTTTACATTTGTTGCACAAGTTTTATGAGAAAATCTGAAGTCACAAAGTTAAAAGAGTGTTAAAAGGATTGAATTTGAGGTTACCTGAGAGGCGGCTCGTTTGAAATCTTTCATTGTAAGCAAACCATTAGCCTTGCCATAAGCAAAGAGCGCCAGAGAAAACGGCCCAAGTTTACTGCGTAGCTCATCAAACTGTTTGAATTCCTTCAACGTGATACGGATGTCCCGGAGATGCTCGTGCTTTTCCAGATCATCCACTCTATCAATCAGCTTGCTCAAATGGCTTGCATCAGCCGTAGCCACCATCGACAATGCAAAATCCTTGGCTGATATGGTTCCTCTTCGTTTATAGTCATAATGCGCAAACTCCAGCCTCAGCATCTATATATACAGATAAAGCAACTCTCTTTCAGTATCACAACCATCTTTCCTTAGCACATATGAAGGGTAAAGAGTTAAGAGTTACTTACTTCATCAGTTAGATCTTTCAAAAACTTGGTGAATTTATCGTGTCTAAGTTTTTTACTGCCATCTTCTCCAAAGAAGTATTCTACCAAGCCTCCATCCTCAACAGAGCCGCTCATATGTAATCCTGTTCGAAGGCCATCTCTGTGGACAAGTCCTTGTCTATGCTGAGATCGCATCAAACTCATCACTGTCTTAAACTCTTCCTTGTCAATCTCCCTAAAAACATCAGAATTGAAAACAATCTTTGATCAGAACCATCTCGATGAAATATAGCTTACAAAGGATAAGAAGCACTGACCAGATTTGACCTGACTCAGCGTAAACTCAAAAAGAGACTCCACTGATTCCCACAACCGTCCGTTTTGGAGGATCGCAATATGGGAATACGTACTATTTACAAATAGGATTGATAGTTACGAAAAGTAGTATTTATCTATATACAAATTTGAAGGACGACTCACCCGTTGTTGTCAGTATCAAACATCTTGAAAGCCACGGCGAAGCTTGATTCAGGAATGCTGAGCAATGTCACAAAGAATATGTACCTGTACCAACAAAAGAACCAAATCACTTCAAGAAAAATAAACAGAGAATTGCTACAATAAGTAATGATTTGGTTCAGCGACTCACTCTTTGAAGGATATGAGGCCATCGTTATCGACGTCAAAGAGCATGAAGAACTCGGAAGGAGAGCATCTAAGTTCGCCGGGATTCCTCTCTCCAGTCAAATATCCTTCTCTTACTAGATGGGATTCTGATGGAGGAAACACCGGGACGATTGCTCTCATCAAATCGGCCGGTTTCATCAGTAATTCTCCTTTCTCTGTTCGAACAGATGCAAAGTACTCGAAAACCTATCATCATCGAGAACAAACCTAATCAATTACTGGAAAAATGTTTGTCATTTTACATCATCCAAAAGCTTTCATCTCTATAAATGGATTCTCTTCTGTTCTGATTATCCATATAAATATAATCCTGGAAATAGTAAGCTTCTAAGAAAAACATATGATTATCAAATGCACCTTTTCAGGAGGACTTTGTAATCTCAAACGCTTCTCGTAATTGAAGAAGATCTTCCTTCTAAACGCATCTGTTTTCAAATCCAACCAAAAAGAAGGACGTCGCCGAATTAATTCATTGCGAGAAAAAAAACATCAATCAATTGAGTAAAAAGCAGAGAAGAATCGCCGACCTCCGAAAATGAATCGAGAGCTGTCACCAGGCAATGCCAATTTCGGAATAAACGATCTAAGTTTCAGATCGCCGGTTGCTGCGGCAGAGACAGAGGCCGATGAAGAATCAGCGAATGACAATAACTTATTTCCACCGAACAAACCAGAAGTCGAGTCAGAATCGGAGAACCAATAAAGAAGCCCTAAGCCGGAGCCAGCTGTTATCCCGGAGATCCATTTAGCAAGAGAGCCGCCAGTGACGGTGCGACTCGACGGATCGGCGACGGGAAGAACAGAGGAGGAGGGAGAAGATTCCGGGAAGGAGGATGAGATCCCGTGGATCCTGAGCCGTTGGATGAGAGGCAAGGATCGGTCAACGGACGGTAGAGATGAGAGTGCTCTGTAGTGAGATAAGGCGGGCATTATGATCCTTCTTTTTCTTTTCTCCGCACCGAAACGGATTTTGTAAACTGACAACAACCTTCCTTAAAGGCTATTTAAAAGGATTTCCAAAAACGCGTTTGATTCGGTTTCGGTTGGTGTTTTATTCAAAGCGACGCCGTATTTGAGATTCTATATCCAGGAATTTCGGATCATTTTAGATAAGATTGTCTCTACAAAAGCAAATTCGTCAAATTTTAGACGAAGTCCCTCTTAAGAAAAGACACAAAAAGCCTAAATTCATACACAAAATCCAAAAATTCAATGCTTTGTTACACGAAATTTTAAAATCTATTGTATGTATTATATTATTCTACAACAATGTGAAGCTTCAAAAAGAAAATTCATTTGCCTAATAAGTCTAATACTATTCTCTCCCCTAGAAAGTAGCCTTAAGAAACAAAAACATATTTTCAGCTGATCATAATATAAAATTACAAAGAGAAACCTTGTAGATAAACATTACGTTGCTCAGCGATTATGTTTCACAATGGTGGGGAATCGATCTGCCCATCGAGAGTATCCTGTTCGTCAATCATACAAAATAATCAGAAGAAAACAAGAACTTCTGTTTTTGGATTTAGAAAATAAAGAAGACAATGGAAAATTGTGATTTGTGTTCAAACCCGAACCTGCTGTTATGATTTCAAGAAGATCCGCGGCATCAGATATACCCTGCATTGATGTATAAGTCATCTAAGAAGCAACTCTCTACCAAGAAAATCAAATTTCGGACAAGAAGTGACCAAATTAAGAACACGACAACACTCTGACAAATGATTTATACCTGGCCCCATGAGGACAAGCTTCTTGTAATGAGCCGGGCCAAACTATCCAAGGAGCTACCGTTGAAGTTAGGTTGCTTGAGTAGAGCATCTTCTGATGTGAAATCAAATATCAAAGAGCAGATGCTTGCAGCCATCATTACTTCCGATGGGTCATTAGTACTATCTGTGAAAAAAAAAAAAGAGAACAAACAGGTTTGAAGTATTTAGAAGCACTCAAAACAGAAACAATGAAGATTCTGATTTTAAGTTTACACCACCTGCCCAAGACGCCAAGGCTTTCAATAGACTGGAAAATGTTGATATTTCCGGCGAAAATCTGATTTCTTCCCTCTGTATCCGACATTTACGAGAGTATCAACCAATAATCAATCATTTGAATATAGGATTTAGCAAAATGAAATCAGGCCTTATCTTAGGGAGAAGAGGGTACCTTTAGAAGAATATTCGTGATTGTATCACAAGCCAAGAATATGCCTCCATTGTCCTCCACACTCTCACCATTGGGCTGGATCAGTTTTATTAGGCATTCCACCACCTGTATCAAAATATTAAAAAAGTCCTTATAAGATAATATACATTATAATTACTGCAAACATATTTAGACCAAGCATACTGTCCAGTGTCAACTAGCATAAGTAGCATCAGCGTAAGAAAGTATAAACCGTAGTAACTCACAGCTACATAGCCTCTTGAAGCAGCCAAGAGTTCACATCCTTCTGCCTTCATTGTTATTTGGCATAGCATTGGGAGCAAGAAGCAAGTGGACAAAAAAGGGCTGTCAAAACAAAAATATTCAGACCAAGTTATCCTGGGATGCATTACATAAACAGCTTCGTAAAAGAGTGAAAATTTCACGAGAGTGTGTTTCCGGACCTTGATTCATCTTCGCCCTCCACTGAAAGCATATAGTCCAGAAGGTCTTGGACCTTCTCTTTGCACGCATCAGGAGTTTCAGCAAGATAGCTGTTGAAAATACAAAAAAGCTCAGTGAACGCTAAAGTCTATGTCCGTCCATGAATACTTGTTTACACAAAGTTTAATGAAGCAGCAAACCATGATTACATAAGCAGAAATTTCGGCCAAACTGCTATGTAATTATTCAACAAGAACAAAAACAGAAAAGGCGATTGAAAAAGAAACAAAAGAACGGTAATTTCTTAGAAGGAGTAATTT